CCGGCCGACGCCCGTCACCGACGCCAAGCCGCCACCGAACCCCATCGACTGCCGCCGACCACCGTTGCTGGCCGTCGACCACCACTTGCCGGCCATAGTTGACCGCTATCGGTCGCTGCTCGTTCTTTGCAACAAGTTTATCACACATCGACGCTATAACTTGAGAAACCTTATGATTCTTTCTCGTCTCTAAGACGAGTAGTTGTGACTGCAATCATCATTTTATAGTGGATCTTTTCAACTGGTACAATCCCGTGATTTTTCTATTTATAAATTTTTCACGTAAAAACTTTTGGTACCTCTAAGACAATATATTACTTTACTATTTCTGAGTGTGTGTTGAATATTCGTACCTCTAAGACAATATATTACTTTACTATTTCTGAGTGTGTGTTGAATATTCGTACCTCTAAGACAATATATTACTTTACTATTTCTGAGTGTGTGTTGAATATTCGTACCTCTAAGACAATATATTACTTTACTATTTCTGAGTGTGTGTTGAATATTCGTACCTCTAAGACAATATATTACTTTACTACCGCAAATTTCTGGCATGCATCAATACACACACGTACTATTAATGTATAATGGCCTTTGACATTTCCTTGGGAAAAAAAAAAAAAACTATTTATGTCAAATTATATATGGATGCAACCAAAAACTTTGATCATCATAGAACTTGGAGATGAGGATGAAGATTAAGATGGGGAACATTAATTGCAACAACTATCACTGTGGCTCTGAATAGATATACACTAGAACATGCGCTATCATACCATACCATTGCATATATGTTTTTAGCATTTTATATATATTACATGACATTTCAAATTTACACCTATTTGTTAATTTAATTTTATCTAATTTTAAATTTCTTCAAATATTTTTATGTTTTAATTTAAATTAATCTTATTTGAAAATATCATAAAAATATATAATTAAAATAATTAATTCAATGATATCCAAAAAAAAATTGATGTTGAAAACATCCAAACGTTGAAATATCATTCTAACTCTCAAAATCCAAAAAATAAAGTTGGTAGGTGAAATATCATTCTAAGTATTATTATTAAAATTTCTATTTTAAATTAGCTTAATTTAAAATAGATTAAATATACTTAAAAAATTTTAAAAAAGCTAATAATTATTAAATATTTTTTATTTTTGTTTTTAGAAATATTTATATTTATTATTATTTTTAAATTAATATATATTTTTTTGAAAAATAAAGAATAATAGTCGCATATAAGTGGGCCATTAACCCATGATTCTTCTTTAAATTAGGCCTGAAATTTCTTCACAGCTATTTTCCATACATAATCTCGCCTCTGAAAAGGGCTTACCCATAATCTGTCCTTCGCGGTCTGAGCACCTTCGGTTGGCTCACCAACACCTCACTCAACCCTACTCCTCATCTCTCTCCTCCCTCCCTTCACTTCTCACCAGTCACTGAAGACGCGCTCTCTTTCATCTCTCTCCTCCCTCCCTCCACTTCTCACCAGTCACTGAAGACGCGCTCTCTTTCTCGGTTACTTCGAAGCATGATTTGCAGCAGGAAAGTGATGAACTTCTTCGTAAGAAAGGATGTCAGAAGATTTCTCAAGCGAAAGGATAGCGACGCCAGCGAGCGAGGTACTATATCTTTCTCCATTACATCTGGTTTTTGGAGGCTTTTGGATTTAGGTTGGATTTCACCATCTGATTCTTCAAGCCACATTTCATGTTTTTGTGGCTATCGGTTACGAAAGAATTCATGGTTTGAAAGGAATCGCTTGGTGGGTTTGTTTTGGTTGATTTTTAACCTAGATGAGGTTGTTTGGATTGCTTGAAGGGCAATTAAGTTTCTTTTCAACTGCCAGTAGAAAGATGGTCGGTCTCTGCTTTATATAGTTTGCAGGTCATGGTCAGCAGCGTCTTTGTAGAATGGGGAGTATGGAAGATTGGATATTATGATTAAATGTTTGATGTTGGGTTGTTGAAAATTGAAAAACAATTTGGGATTTTGTTTAGTGTTGTGAGACCCAAACAATTGGGCATGGATAATTCATTCAAGCGTTTTGGAATGTTGATTTGCCCGCTGCAAAATTTCAAATTTATTGCTTCGGTTATTCAGTTTCAAACACCGTCTCTTTTTAATGGTTTGGATCTTCTTCTTCCCATGCAATTCATTTATTTTTACTGATTTTTGATTTTATATTTTGTTGTAATTTTTTATATTTTGATTATAGGTACATTTATTTTGTTAATTTTTTAATGGAATTAGGCAAAAGGTTAGAAGATGTTAGAGCTTCTCTTTTCAACGATCTGCGAACATCTGAAGGTGCAAAGCGACTACAGCAACGAATTTGTGGCCCTACGGTTGCTTTAACGTTCAATTTTTGGGTTTCTGTTTGTATCATTCTGATGAACAAGCTGGTATTTACTTGACGTATTCCCTTGTTGCATCTTGATTCTTATTAATGGATTCCTGAAACACTAAACTACTCTAACAATTCTTCAGGTGCTTGGAAAAGTTGGTTTCAATTTTCCAATCTTGCTTACCTTCATCCACTACAGTCTGAGCTGGTTTTTAATGGCCATTTTGAATGCATTCTCTTTCCTTCCAGCCTCTCCTCCCGCAAAATCTTCCAGATTCTTTAGTCTGTTTACCCTTGGCATGGTCATGTCTTTCTCTACTGGTCTCGCAAATGTCAGCTTGAAGTACAACAGGTATTTATTTCAAAAGAAATTTTGCATCTTCCACTCACATTACCTTTTTAAAATGTTGAAGATGCTTTGCTTTATGCCCCAGTGTGGGTTTCTATCAGATGACGAAGATTGCTGTGACGCCAACTATTGTTCTAGCAGAGTTTGTGCTCTTTGCAAAGACTGTTTCTTTTCAGAAGGTAAAATTCCTCACTTGGTGACATGAGGTTTTCTATATAAACTCGAGCAATCTAGTTATCAAGAATCCATCTTTTTTCTTTGTATAATGCAGGCCTTGACACTGACTATAGTATCAATTGGAGTTGCTGTTGCAACAGTTACAGACCTGGAGTTCCACTTATTTGGATCATTAGTTGCTCTGGCATGGATAATTCCGAGTGCTGTCAACAAAATCCTTTGGTCCAATCTTCAGCAGCGTGAAAACTGGACAGCTTTAGCGTATGTTATTCAAACTACGGTTTCTTCCTTTTGGAATGGTTGATGTATGATATTTAGGACCTCCATTAATTAGTTTTTGATTTGATAAGCAGCTTAATGTGGAAGACAACCCCGATGACTCTTTTCTTTCTGGTGGTTTTAATGCCCTGGCTCGACCCTCCTGGCGCCCTTTCCTTCCATTGGAACTTCTCCAACACATTGGTCATATTCCTCTCAGCTATTCTTGGTTTTTTGTTACAGTGGTCTGGTGCATTGGCTCTGGGGTGAGGCTTCTTTATCTTCTTATCGTTTCCATGGGAAGATCATTTTGCAATTTGCTTTAGAAACCTTGTGGAATCTCCTGAACTGCTTTGTGTTTTGCAAACTGTATCTTTATTGTACTCGTATTTCAGGGCAACGTCTGCAGTCTCCCATGTTGTTCTTGGGCAGTTCAAGACTTGTGTTATCCTGCTTGGTGGTTTTCTTCTCTTCAATTCTAATCCAGGGATTTTAAGCATCTGTGGAGCAATTATTGCTCTTGGAGGTATGTCGTTGTACACTTACTTAAACATGCTGGCCTCTCATCAACAAGCAGCGAAGCCGACAAACCGACAATCATCATTTCCTTTAGTGAAAGCTAAGCATAATAAGGAAATTGGTGATGCTCATGATGGTGATCCGGGAACAGTGCCTGTCTAAGGATATTAGCGTTGGTTATTGAAGTATTTACAACTTTTTAGATACATATAAATCCAAGATGATTGTTTCTTGGAATCAGAAAGAAAAAGGGTGAGGGTCCAACTATAGTTTTTCTTTTGTATCAAACATTTAATTCCATCCTTTTTTCCATGTTGCAGTTTCTGAAATTGCAGAAATAGTAGAAGCTACACCTTTGTGGCCCAAATTGTATTTAAGTGTGTATTGAACAGTTCTTTTATCTTCATTGAGGATACAAATGCGTCTCTTTAGAAAGTTTTTTTTTTCACTGTACAATTGATGTAAATAAATATATGCAATATTGCCTGTTAGCTTCCATCAAACCTACATTGTTGAACCTTGTTATCCTTACATTAAGTTTGTTTTTTATCCTTTTAATTGTAAAACAATAACAAGAGAGGGTACTCTGCATTTATCTTTTAGCGGAATCATTTTTTTTTAATTGGATTGGAATTTATTTTGTTGTATTAATTTTTTTTTTTTATGGAGTGGGAACAAAAGTTTTTATATTATGTTCTTTGTATGGCTTTACCATCCTTTATTTATGTATGGCTCTCTCTTTATTAAAATGAAGAAACTAGAGGGGCATTTATCATGCATTTCATTAGCTCAAGACTATTATAGCAGCTGAAAAACATTGATTTTTAAGGGAATGATTCTGTCCAGAGGCGTGAAAATAATAGTTTCTAAATATCTCATTAAAAGCAAGAGTTTGCAATAATTTTATAAATGTCTACACGATTCTAAAAGAATTCCCAATATGGACACCCATCTATGACAAAATTGCGCTTATAATGTGCCTACAATGAAAATACTTGAGCTTGCTGTCAATTTCCCTGCTTTTGATCAGAATATTGAGTGTTATTATTTCCACTTTACAATGATTGTTGTAGGGTTTCCTTGTATTAATTTGTCTTCATGTCAAATATGATTAAATTTATGCATCCCATACCCTCATCTTGCTTAACATTGCTCTTTATAGGACTCATACTGAGCTACTGCTATAATTGCTTCCTTGAGTTGATGCATGTTTGTCTTTGATTCGACATTTCAACATCCCGTCTATTTTGTTATAGTTTTTTTCTAAGTTCACATATTTCTTATGTATGCATTATTCCTTATCTGTTGTCACAGTCAAGTGGCACAATCTTTATAAAGGTAGCTTTAAAGAGAAAGAAATGATTGTGTGCATTGAGTGGATAGACATCATGTAATTGATTTATTTCTGTTGGTATCTATTTCTGTCTTTTGTTTTATGTTCAGCTTCTATACAAACCTTGCAAAATATTGTGGCAGTAATTGTAAAAAATTGATTTGAGTATTTCATTCCAACTTTTGTGCAGTTGTAAAATCCTAGGTGAGATTTAACGGGAATCATATAAATTCTAGGAAGAATAATTACAATGGTACATAAATCATTGAGTAGGAAGAATAATAACTATAGAATTATTACAATAGTGATGATGTGGCAGTATTAATCTCATGAAGCTTTGAGGTGGCATAAAGTTATTAAGGAAGATGTAAGATTGCTAGGCTGAATGAACTATTGATGTAGACATAATTTATGGAGATTAATTTTCTTGCTTTTCCTTTCAAGCAAATGAATGGATGTTGTTCATTTCAAGCTGGCATGTTACTTTTTAAATATTATTCTTATAATTTTATAGCGGGGACGCTCCAAGTTGCCCATTTGTGGTGAAAAATGGAGTGCAAATTAAGTCATAACCGCGCTTCTTTATAAATTGTTCATTCACTTTAATATATAGTTTTGGTCATATGTGTGAGATTATGTGCAATATTGATGATTGAAGTATTGTCATAATAGAGCCTCATATGATCTTTCCATTCAACTTTAAATCTTTCAGGATAGTTTTCAATTATAGCAATTCACATATTCCTAGTATTGTAGATTTGAATTTGGCTTTTATGCTAGATTTTATCATTACATTTTATTTTCTACTACAAGTTACAAGACTGCCTCTTAAGGAATACGTAATATTCTGAAGTTGATTTATTATCAACCTTGGATATTGCATCATATGCATTTGTATAGGCGTCAGGTTTTAGATTATTTCCCCTTCTGAATAAAATTTTTTATATGGGGCTCCTCTTAACATATTATAAAATCTGCTCTATTGTATAAGGTGCGATTTTTCAAGATTATGTATGAATTAAATTACCAAACCAACAAAATAGGCAATATTAATGTGATAAGTGGATAATTCTTCTTACAAATCTTTGATAGGAGTTTTTTTTCAATGACTGTTTTTTGTAGCATTTTTATGTTTATATGATTAAATGGGGTTCTTGAGGGCTTGCATTCAAGTTTATTTATTTCTTTCAGTGAGCTATGCATTTGTATTATAATATAATTATGACATTTCTAGTGTTTGAAACCTCAATATCATAGAAGTAACTTAACACTTACCTAATTCTTGAAAACTTTGGGGCAATTTTTCCTTAAAATCTAAATACATTTCAATTCACTATTTGTTACAATGACGTTATCGACATAAGTTAGTTCAAAGACACCCTTTGAGGATGTGTTTCACAAATAATACATGGTTGATTTAATTTTGTATTATATGTTGAGTCTTATTTACTTTATTGAACCTTTCAAATCATGTATTTGTAGATTGGTTCAATTCATATATTACATTTTTTAATTTATATGCCTTTTATTTTGTGTTTAAGCCAAATGTTAATAGGCCTTCTTTAGATCACCATGTAAGAAGGCATGTTTCACTTCAGTTATTGTATTTTTAAACCATTAATCCATTATTAACTATTAATAATAAAAAAATTTCAAACGTATTCATTTTTGCAATAGGTACGAGAGTCTTAAGATAATTAATCCCATATGCTTAAGTCTAACCTATTACTGCTAGTCTAGTATTTTATCTTTTTAATAAACTATCAAATTTGTACTTCACAATAAGGACCTCTCCTATGTCTTATTGATTTTTTTGGTAGTTTCATCATTTCCTTTCCATTTAAGACAACTTTCCTCCAATATTATCTTGGAATGTTTTTTTTTTTTAAATGAGAGCTCTCGTATGGTAGGTGGTTGTTCTTTTTTTCAAATGCGTAATACATTAAATGGTTCATGTGTAATACAATATTATCTTGGATTGTTTTTTCTTTTAATGAGAACTCTTGTAATGGTAGGTGGTTTTTCTTTTGTACAAATGTGTAAGCTCTTGTAATGGTTGTCGGCCGTTTTATCGTTCAGCTTGACTTTCGTATACACTAAATGACTCCTGTATTTTACTTGAAAACATTAGGAGTGAGAATGGTTTGAAAGTTTAGACAATGTTGGGTTATATTTTTATTAATTTCAATATCAATTTAATTTTTGATCATGCTAAAAAAGATGAGAATTATTATATTATTTTTTTTTTGTTTTTATTAAAAGATTTATGACACATATGTGTAGTCAATATTAAAAGCAAAAACTGTCGAGTCTCGGGTATATTAGTTGTACGGCCTCTAGTTATCATTATGAGTGAGAAAAATAGACTTTTTGTTTTTGTGTTATTGAAAAGCTAGTGTGCTTATATTTTTTGAACTCGAAAATATCATATGAAAATTTTCTAATTTTAATATTTTATTAACTAAATATTTTGAGAATAACAAAATAAGGATGCTTAGTACTTAAGTGTTAAGGCATACCTTTTCTTTATTTTAATTAAAGATTTCAACAAGGAAGTATAATACAATTCGTTATTTTAAGCTTCTTTAGTAATCGAATTACTCTAAGTGATAGAGACCATCTCTTTTCCCATCAAATCTTTTCATCCTCTTCCTATTCTCAGAATGTGCAATGTGAAAGGTAAAATACAATTATGCATTTTGAATTTATTAATATTTTTTTGAATATATAATAAGCTGGTGAATAATTTAATACATGAAGGACATTTTAAATTGTTAGGGATTTTTTGATAATTCTGTCTCTTTGGCTAATAATGATTATCATTTATTTTTCTTGTGTTTATGATAGGGATCATATGAAATATGAAATAAATTTGTGTGGGCTATATGGTCTATAACTACTTAGGATCTGTTTGCGGCAGCTGCAACTGATTGAAGAAACAACTGTGAAGCTGCTGAAAAAGAAACTGCTGTTTAAAAAGCTAAGGTGGCTATTAAAAATTTTATTTATTTATTTACTTATTTTTAAGAAGTCAGACCGCAACTTTTTAGCAACCATCACATGTAGCCAGATCTTATGAGAAAACACAACTTTCAGCTACAGTTTTTGAGAATGCAGACAAAATGTAAGTTTGTCAAACAAAAAAAATTGCGGTGCGGCACCACAATGCCATCGCACCGCCGCCCGAAACACATCCTCAATCAATAATCCTGGTGCTGTTAGCGGGCATCTCTATTACTCTAAAAGCAAGAAAAGAGGAAGTAAAACTCGAGATTTGAGAATGCAAAAGTGATTTCCATAAAAATAATCTTTAGTAATACCAATGAATTCTTTAACTTTTGTATATTTAATATATAGAATTCAGTCAGTGATTCTTTGGTGTTTCATTGTCTCACATGTCATATATCACTCCTTTATTTTTTTGCTTGTCCTTCTAATGTTAATTAAGTTTTTCCTAGTGAAAATTCACGAAGCTTTCAATATTTTTCTTTTATATCCCAAGTTTTTTTCTTACAACATATGCACCATAGGAAATCTTTGCTGACTGTTTTTATTGAGTGTAATTGCATGTGCTCTGTAGAAGAAAGAGTTTTTAATCTAGTTGTTTGTATATCCTTTGTCATTAGTACTTAACTTTAATGGGATTATTGGCAATCATAACTCTCCTCTGTATGATGACAATGATTTTTATAAAGGGAATTTTTTTCTTAATAATTTTGAGACTTTACAACTTTATGGCTTCAAACTCAATATTTAATCCATCAAGAAACTCATCAATTTGTTCCTTTTCAAATAATGTTTTAAGGAGCGTTGCATCTTTATTAGATTCCATTTGATACATTGACAATGAATCCAACCAACTATTGCCGAAGACCTTATAGTAGATTGGAGTATATTATGATGATTTGTCTTTCTTGCTTTCTGGCTGAACTTCTGATTTAATTTCTTGAGTTGCATCACGGACTTTAGAATAAATTTACTTTACCGTATCCTTTTCTTTTTGGTTGAATCGAGAAACATGCCTGTGTTAGTTATTTCATAAATAAGATATCACAGTAAGAGTACTGTTCATCCTAGGTTTTAAATATTGGATCATCTTATTGAGTTATGT